CCTTTCGAGACGGAGCACCGTTCCTACCCCTACTAGAGACACCACCAACATTTGGGAGCTCTTTACGTTTCTGCCACAAACTACATAAAAATTCCTTGCACATCTTATCCCCGTCCTCTACGGCCTCTTGTGCCCACCATCTATCCCCAATAAATTACCGCGATCGTTTTTTCGCTGTTGTTGTCTAATTTACCAAACTTGTCCATGTTACACCCTCTTTGTCTCATGTCCTCCTCGAGATCCTCTCTTTCCTTCCTGTACAGCTCACACTCCCCAACTATGTGGGGTCTACTCTCCTCCGATTTGCCACATGGACATGTCTGTCTATCCTCCTCTTCCTCTCTCCTACGGCTGCTGTACCTCTTCCTCCGTTCTGGCAAGTCCAGATCGCCTACTCGAAATTGCAACTTCAGTTTTTTTGCGTAGTCCATGGGGCCGTCCAAGTAACTCTTCATCCCTATCCCTTCTTTCAACTTCCCGTATGTCTCCAAGTGGTCTTCGCTTCGTACCTTCTTCCTCCGAAGGGTTGCCTCCTCCCTGCTTTCTAGCATTTCCTTGACTTTCTTCTTGAACCCCCCAAACCCTTCCGTGTCCAATGTCTCCTCGTCTCCTATCTCCTTCCAAACCCTCTCTACCACCTTGTCCCATCTGATTCCTTTCTTCCCTGGAGTCGCTTTTCCCCAAGCTGCCTTGTCAACCATGGCTGGTAGTCTATCGTCCGACATTCTACTTACCTTGTACTGCCAATTCAACTTTTGCATGTCTCTCTTTGTTTTAAGAGAGTACATACATTCATTCCCAGTTCTGCTCTCAATACAGTGTTGCTCGTTGTACTTGAACATCCTAGTATTTTCTTGGCCGCTGCCATCTGCACCGTTTCCAGCTGCTTGACGGCCTTTTCGTTACCTTCCCATACCTCTCCTGCATACTCTAGCTTAGGTACAATCACATTCAAGAGAACACACCTCTTAATCCTAGTGTCTAGGTGTGGGTCCGTAAGGATCTCGTCCATCTTGCCTATCTGAGCTTTACCCTTCCCAATCAACTTTGCTATGTGTGCGTCCCATGAGCACTCCTTCGAAATCTCTACTCCCAGGTACGTATACCTGTCTACTACCGGTAGTTCTTCCTCCCCCCGTTTCCATATGAATTCTACGGGATTTTTCTTGTCTTCGTTACAGACCACTACTGCGCATTTTCCTACGTTCGCCGACAGTCTCCATTTTCGGGTGTATCCTACTGCCGCATCTATTTGTTCCTGCAACCCTTCTGGTGTTTCGGATACCCCCACGAAATCATCTGCAAACATCAGTCCGGACACACTCTTTCCCCCTACTTGGACTCCCTGTCTTACTGCTTCAACCGCCCTTATCAAGTCGTTGATGTAAATCTTGAAAAGAGTGGGTGACATCGTACAGCCCTGTGCGACTCCTTGGAGTATATCCACGTACTTCGAGATTTCCCCATCCAACATCACTGCACTTCTTGTGCATTCTGTCATCTTTTTCAACATCCTCCACATTTTCCCCCGGATCCCTATGTCCCACATCTTTTTCCACAATCCATTGCGCCAAACGGTGTCGTAGGCTTTTTGTACATTATAGAAGAAACAGTATGTCGTACGCCCGGCGTCTTTCCTACCTTGGATAATTTTACTCAACGTATATACATGGTCTACACAACTACGATCTGGTCTAAATCCAGCTTGTCCTTCGCTGATCTTTTGTTTCCCCTCCAACATGTCTCCCATTCTATTGTTTATCATCTTGCCAAAGAGTTTCCCCACTGTGCTCAGCAAGGTTATCCCTCGATAATTCCCCGGGTCAGTTTTATCCCCCTTTTTGAACAGGTTCACGACTACTCCTTCTCTCCATCTCTTCGGCGCGTACTCGTGTTTCCATATCCAGTTGAATATCCGGACCAACATGTTAATCATCCCCCCCCCCCCCTGTTTCAAAAGCTCATTCACGATTCCATCAGTCCCTGCCGCTTTTCTTTTCTTGAGTTTCGCTACACAGTCCTCTACCTCTTCTCGTGTGAACTCTCCCTGCAACCCGTCTACATCACTACATTCCCTCCGAGATCTTTCAACGTTTTCCTCTGCCCACGAGTTGATTTCCTTCTCAAACTCCGAGTCGAAGTTGTTGTCGTTGGTGGTGGGTGTCCCAAGTTTGCGGTAGTGCTCTACTAGGACTTCCCGCTTTCGTTTAGAACTGCTTGCCATCTTACCATCGGCAGATCGTAGTGTCGCTATTCCCGTGCCTCCCCCTCTTTTCTTGCCCACTATCCCTTGAATTCCTACCCACATTTGCTTCATCCCCACCTCAAAATCTTCGTTAGTCTTTGGACTACTTCCTCCCACAACGTTTTCTTCTTCACCACCAAAACTCCTTCACCCTCTTTCTATTTTCAACATACTCCTTCCAGCCTGCATCGGTTTTCCCTACCGCATATTTTGCGTGTGACTCTCTACGTACTCGAAATGCTTGCTTGATTTCTTCGTCCCACCACTTCACTGCTCTCTTGCAAACTATCAACTTTCTACCGAGAACTCTACTTGTCGTTGTGTTTACCAGCTTTTCCCACCCTTTGTGGAGAACACCTTCATAAACTTCCTGCGAGCACAAAGTCCACTTTTCCACAATGGCGTCGACGAAGAGACGTCAGGTGACTGGTTTTGGTTGCAAAAGACACGGGTTCAAAACCCGCTGCTCACCTGATTTTGTTCCGGAGTACGGAAAAAGAAAAACAGTGGGTGGGACAAGAAACGATGCACTGTCTATCGAACTCGAAACTTCTGGCAATGCGTGGCGGAAGTGGCGCACCCGCAACACGCACAGAAGATTGTTGGAAACAAGGTGGTTCTACTCGCCGCCAGCCGGTCGGGTTCCGGTTACCCCAAGAAGACTTCTCTTGCCTAGCAAACAAGAAGAAGCCTCGAAAAAGGGGGGGGTAATGTGGAGAACACCTTCATAAAGGTTGAAACTCCCCAACGTCTGTCGAGGACGAAACCCTCTTTTCCACACCTTCTAAGGTCCGGCCTGGTCCCGACCTTTGGCATCCTTCGGTGCGCCCATTGCCTCTATCAACTCCGAGAGTTTCTTGTTTACAGCCATCTCTTCTTGAAACTCTACCCTCGTTTCTTCTACTTCTAGCTTATCTATTCTCCATCTGTACATTTTCCTGCGTCGCCTACTCTGTATGACTCTCGTCTGTTGTATGTAGGGCTGTCCACACCAACGCATGGTCTGTAGTGCCTTCATCCGTTGTGCATACTCGTACTTCCGGAGGGGGGGGGTTGGACCCCCTCGTGCGATTCCTGCCTGAGATATTTTTATCGCGAGAATGGTCCAGCAATTCCTTCCCTCGCGACTTATGAAGTCGGTTAAGTTTACTAACAATGTGCTTTGCAGCGCGTCGCTTCCAACGGAGACCAGGATTTAGTTAGCGAGAAAAAACTCACTCTGTCGGGACTCGAACTCATGACCTGGCCCTTAGCAGGCTGCGAGGCTACCCACTAGACCACCGGGGCGACCGGTTGTGAGCCCACGGAGCCTGACAGCTGACGACCCACCGATAATCAAAGGGCAACATGCTGCATTCGCTTGGAAAAATAAATACATAGACTACGGGTATCCCTCGTCAAGATTGATTCAACTCTTCTCCGGATGTTGGTTCCCCCTCACAGCTTCTCACGTACGTAGCAACCTCCAAACTTGCCCATACATTACGCCGGTCGCGCCGGGGCCTAGTGGTCAACCGACCTTTTGCAAACCTACGGTAGTAGTTTCACCGAGAGGTGTATGTAGTGTAGACTGGTGCCAGAAAAAAATGGGACGAACACATGCACATTTAACAAACCCTGTTTTCTAAGTGATCCTCGCAGGGAAAGTGTGTGTTCTCAGCGGTGTGATACCTCACGAAATGACAGGTCTCAGAGAGAATAGACCCAGTAAACATCGTGAGGTGCTTTTAGGACGACACAAACACAGATCGCGAAATATTCTTTGGCGGAGATCACGTCTGGCGGGCATGGAGCCATCGTACAGAGTACGGGCCCGTAGATAAAGAAACGTCAAATAATTCGGGTCGAGCCTCAATCCCTTATTTCGGGTCAAAGGACCAACCGAAGTCGTCCGTTATTTTCTTAAAAGGCGTTTCTTATCCCTTTGGAACGTCGCATCCTCCCAATCCTCGTATTTCTCACTTCTCATACTATCTTGTTTGGCTAAAGAATACAGTACAACACACCAAGTAGTCATCATGCCGCTTAACCAGAAGAACTCGGTGTAGCGGTTGGTGTGGCGAAATAACCACTCTCTCTTCTACCAAAAAAATGCACTTTCAGCTATGTAGGCGGGTGGGAACACGGAAGGAGCAGCGGTGGGAAGTTTCTTAATGGGCACGCTCCTCCAGCTACCCCTTGTTTCTTATGCGTTCGGGGTGTCGCACCTTCATGTTTCTCATTGGGACGTTTTCTTACGTTGTGGCCGAGAGTGAGCTGTGTTTCTTAGTCCTTTTATTTTTTTTCGTCAAAATTTGAGCCTACATGTATCCTCTTACCATAATATTTCGTAATTGCGGGCCCGCACTAGCTGTATGCATTCCAGGGTTCCAAAAAGAATTAAAAAAAAGAACTAAAAAACTTGAACCCTAACCTCATCTCACGCTAACTGTACCAGGTAGATCGACTACATAGTCCCATTGTTCCCCACAGAGAAAGTAACATTAAAGTCACGGCGATCCTTAAGCAGAGTGGCGCTTCTTCTTTGGTGGTTGCGGCATCTGTAACCTAGCAAAGGGCCTTCCAACACCGAGATTTTGGAGCTTCGAACGGCCTCATCCCGTGGATTCTACCAGTAGTCTAGCAAGTGCGGACGCACATTGATATATGCAGGGAAATGTAGGTGGAACAACACCGCCGAACCACTAAACTGAACCCAAGCTAGACTTTACCAAAGCATCCAATCCCTCGGATAGATCCTCCACAGCAGACTTCAACACAGAGGAGCTTCTTCACTTCGGCCGTAAAAACTGAAGCAGAATTTCAATCGGCCCTGTCTTTTCCGCCACAGTGCACAGCACTTGAACCTTGGAAAATATTTTGATTTTTGCGTCAGTCCATTGGTGGGTGACTGTCGATGATGGAGTCAGGTGAATTGTTCCCTCGAGCTCGTCGTACGTCGCCATGATGTCCGGTATCTTGTCGAGAAACAGCCGAGACGTCACTCCTAGACGTGGGATGTTAACCGTGAAGCTCTGCTCACCGACGGAAATGACCACAGCTTCCTCTTGAAGAGGATTGGATGCGACATGCACTGCCAAATACACCTGGCGAACAAAGCGCACGGACACGGCGCAAGAACATAACGATGTTGACCATTAACCCTTCCTTCGTCCCGTTTCGGAAACACAGGCACTGGACACAAACGCAACTCTTGCCAAACTAAAACTATGGATTCAAATCGAACGTTTTCAAGTCTGGGACATTGGTGAAAATGTCAACACCGCCGACCTCATCGCTGCGTTCTTGCGCCGCCTTTGCCGCCAGTCGTTTGTCGTTGCAGTGCTGAGCTGTCTCCTCAATGGCATCCACTTCGTATGTGCTTTCCACGGTCCCGTCCAGCGTTGCTGTCAGAATTCGATGCACCATAACGTCTGCATACCGCCGAATAGGGCTAGTGAAGTGTGTGTAGACGGGGATGTTCAAAGCATAGTGCCGCCAAGAGTCTGTTGCTCCCGCTGCCACATATTCCGCACTCTGCATGGGAATAGTCGCCATCATCGTGCACACCTGCGAGACAGTATAGCAATAGTTCGTGAAGCACCATCGTTACAAACAAAACGTGCACAAACGGCAGACTACACCATCATATAGGTGTGGCTTGACACGCCACCTGCGCCTTGCTTGTAAATGTTCACTGCTTGCTTCCTTCTGTGAGTACCCCAGCACAAGTTCAACCTGAGCGATTTCTTCGTCGTTGCACTGGGTACGAAGGCGCAGCAGGGATGCCTGGATCGATCCCGATGACGTTATGTCGATCTCGATGCCGCATCCAGCGAGAGTTTCCTTTAGAGCGTTCAGCCCTGGTACGTACGGCGAGAGTGCACAAAACACTATGACCATGAGCACTCGCGGTTGTTTTGCAGGTGTGCATAGATTCCTCAAGTTCATCAACATCCAGAGTGACTATCAACACCTTGCTCGAACATACGGCACCGCGTGAACACATCTAGAGCCTGCAAGAGCATTTTTACGCATCGTGGTGGTCCCCCTTGGGAGACGTTTCCATCGCAAAAGAAAATAACATACGCATGACGGGGGAGTCCAGGACAATGATAGACACTGAACGGACTTAGTGTACCTGGTGCAATCGGCGGTGGATGCATCCGAAGAAATGCTCGATCGTCTGCCCCTTCCATTATCTGAAAAACATCGCGTGTAAACGAAGGCGAACTCACAAGTAAACGCATTCCCGTGTTGGGTTACGATGGATGGTTGCACCAGGTTTACACTTACCGATTCGTCTACAACTAAAAGCGCTGTCTACAAGCAAAAGTCCCGACCACAGGAAGAGGCAGAAATCATGCAGGTCACGGTTGAAGCCGTAATCTCGAATGTCGTATTATGTGTTGTCAGGTCACGTACGTACGCACGCACTAAAAGATTGCACACCACCTTATTCTTGTTCTCCAAGGAAAACGGTCGCACCTGTTGCGCCACCAGAAAATTTGCCAGAAGCATGTATTCCTGGGTACACGCACGAAGCAAAAAATTTTCGTATGAGAGCCACCGATTACACCCCGTTGCAAAATTCTGCATCCGTTGGAACGACTGTCGGACGGACAGCCGAAGCATGATATGTGTCAAGACCTAAAACAGAGCGGAAGGAATGGACTAACTTGCGGGCGACAAATGAGATACGCTCCTAGTCGGAAAGGATCTGTCAATCCTCACCTCAACAAGCCTATTGCTGTCCCTGATTGGATATGACCCGAAATCAGCTGGGTTCCCGTTGTCGTCGAGTTTGAAAGTCAGCTTCGGTGTGTTGAGGGAGAGCGCACCACTCTCGAATCGTTTCGCTCGCCGCCTTTTAGCCAAGGAGTTCATCAGCAGAACATCCTGACAGACTTCACCGCAAGTAAACTCTGTCGGTCGCCTGGTAGAGGAAGAAAGCAGAGATAGACACAACAATGGCGTCGTCAGGTGGAAAAAGGATACTTTCGGTGTGGAACTACCACTGCGTTCTTTGTGGCAGTTGGTACCTGTTGGGGTCCCATAGCTCAGGTGATGTCGACGATGCGCTGTCGGGAAGAATGGTTCCCTCGATCATGTGTTGAGCCGTCTGATAGTCTAGTTTGCAGCATGACCGGATAACGGTTCGTCCGAACCATGCAGGCTTGTCGACGAGAGTGCCGTCAACGTTCATGCGCCAAATGCACGAGAATGTGAGCCGGTCCACTTGAGGGTTGAGGCTGCAGAGCTCTTCGCACAGCAGCGGCGGAAGCATCGGGATGGCTTGTTGAACGAGGTACACCGTGGTGGCTCGCCGGCGGGCTTCTCGGTCAAGGTCAGAGTTGGGCCTAACGAAGTACGTCACGTCTGCGATGTGTACTCCGATCTCGAACGTTCCATCAGCCAGAGGGGTTATACTCAGCGCATCGTCTAGGTCCCTCGCCCCCGTCGGGTCAATCGTGAAGATGCGAGTTGCCCGCAAGTCGCGACGTTTGCTGATTTCTTCGTCCGGAATTTTCCATCTGGATCCCCTGGTATCGGCTCCGGCGTCGATGCCGTCCTCAGCGTTCTTTGGAGGTAAGAACGCTTCGAGGCCACGCAAGACGGTGCGAGGGAAATCTCCGTGATTGACACCTGCGGAGGAGGCCAAAAATCCTTTGTGGTGAGAATACACACCTTTAACAAGTATTGACAAGATTGATTTCGAGGCATACAACTTTTAATATGCACTCTTGGCACTTGTCCCAGAAGGTCAACTTGACTTACAACGAGTCACAATGACAAATTCCGTACCATGCTGACACAGTAATGCCTTGGTCTCGGCGTGTATCGCCCCTGCTTCTCCCACGAAGCGCACGTTGTGCCCCCACGGCAGTTTTGATGTCGCAGACCAAGTCCCCTTGACACAGGCCATGAAAATGTAGTTGGCATACGCTCCCGGGTTGTCGACGAAGATTGACGGAAGCTCCCCTCTCGCTATCAGCATGTGGGGTACTCTTCGATCGGTAGGATGGAACATGACGTATGAATCCTTGTCGGATAGCTTACCGTCGACCTTCAATGGGCTCGACCATACCAAGGAGCCCATGTGATCTTCCTGGAGTCCATGGAGAGTCATGTGCGGAACGATGCGCGTGTGAATTACACGTCATTGGAACATACGACACGGCAGGGACAACGCTTGTATGTGCGCCAACCTTTGGCAAACACCGAAACAGAGTAATGCACAGAACTCAAGGTTTGCGGGAAGACAACGCACAGCCTGTGGCTCACCCTGTGAGCGCTCTCCATGATGAACACAACCTTGCCGCGTGGCTGCAGATTGCCTTGTGCGGCGAGAACACCAGCCTCGCACAGGTTTTCTGGTCGATTCCCGCCTTGAGCACCACCAGCGACTTTCGGCGACGGTCGCCACAGCCCGTCCACTGGAGGTGCCACTTTCGGTCCGTCCCATGCCGGATAAGATGTAGCACCATTTGTTTCATCTTCATCCGCCGAGCTTTCTGTGATTGAAATCGACTCAAGAGCTTCTGCCAAACCCTCGTTGCTCGATCGAGCCGGTGCTTGTTTCAAGGCCATCCATTCAGTCACTGGCGCAAGCTCGACTACCACCTGCGGTCAAGCATGCGACAGGCAGCTGAGACACGGATGTTTCAACAGCTTATGGCAAGCTTCCACTCTGGAAACTGTGTGCCAGACTCAAAATGACAAGATGGAAGGTTAGGGTAGGTATTTTGATTTTCGCGGAAGAGGGCTAGAGAGACGATGGATGCCAACACGGCAGTGGCCAGAGAACAAAAATGAAGAGAAATGCAAACCATTTACACAAAGTTCTGACGGAGTACGGTTGGAGACTTGCTACGGAAAACAGAGGTGCCGCCACTTGACCGGACGTGGCAGCGATACATACGCGGGATGTCACTGCGGTACAGTAATGCCGCGCACGTGCTCCTCGCTACTGCAAATGTAAAAAAACTTACCAGATCGCCTTCTTGTGCGCGATTCCGGGCCTTCTCCGATTCAAGGAAAATATCCGAGGGCAACACACCGCCATCTACCGTGACGAACGCAGTTGACCTACTCCGTGCGTTGATGCGAAGGTTTCCTTTCAACAATGTGCCATCTCGAAGCCCCTTCTCCACATCCTGAGACAACGCACAGAGATAAATGAGGCATTGTCGGTAAATGTAGGATTGGTTGAAGAGTTTCCAACAGGCCTTGCATTCACGACTCTTGCGAAGTACGTGAGCGATGCCAGTAGTAGGCCCAACTTTTTCCTCCCGTTCCTTTTGCTGAACTGGAGGTTTGTCCTAGACATGTGCATACTACACGGCAACTCTCCCGATCGCTCCATGCATTTTGTAGCCATCCAAGGCCACGGGAAGACTTCAAGACCGTTCGGGGGATTCGACTAAAAGCATGGGAATTACACGTGTAGTCAGTTCTCATTACGTAGACTCATGTTTGAGCGGAGCTCTCCAACTACGGCGGTAGCCACGTGCAAGGCTTGCGGCGGCAAACAGCCGCTACCTCTCACTTGGTTGCAACCCACAACTGCTGGAGCGACGGAGGCTCTATGCCCATGGCTTCTTGTTTCTATGATACAACCTTCGCGATAATGTTATCGCTCAGCTGCTGTTTACAGCGCCCGGAATCTACTAATTCTGACTGGTCTTCCACCAGAGATCGTATCGTCGCTATATGTGGAGGCCTCAAGTTTCGCAGAGCGTAGGCTATTTCCTTTCGCGACATGTGGCAAGGAGTACAGGCGAGACCGAGTGAAGTCAAGCTATAATAGGGTGAGGCTACGTAGACTCACTCTTCAAATCTTGTAGATTCTCAACAACTCACCGTCGTTGAATGCTATTTAGTCTAAATATTAGAGTATCATGTCCAGAACAAAGCGATATACGTATGCATACTCCGTATCATCTATTTTCTGACATTCGACAGGTTCCTATTCTTCATGTTGCATTTGTGTGCTGCAAATTATCCTGACTGCACAGCTACTCTAGATCTACTTGTAGAAGACACCTCACATCAGCGGCAGCAGTAGTTAGATTTACGGGGAACACGGTAGATCTGCTGTTAAGCAGTAGAGCAGTAGAGACAAGCACCCCGCACGACAATGAGGTACATTATTTATGTAAAAAATAATTTACTGACCCTAGACTATTCCGTTACCACCAACATGGAACCAAAACACTCACCTTTTGTGGCATGTGGTCTTGGTAAAATTTTCTCCGGCGCTGTTGCCCCCTACCCGACGTCTGCGGCGCTTGTACAAGCTGGGTGTTGTTGGCGACAAACAGACCTCTGCCTCTACCGCGCCCTACTCTTCCGCTACCTCTACCTCTACCCCTTCCGCGGGGACCTCTTCCTCTAGGGCTCCCATTCATTACGCACTGTGATTCACAATCTTGTTGCCTCTCGGTGGTGGTTGGTCCGCGCTTCGTGTGACAGCAGTGAACACTGCTGTGCACGTTGCGCACTGCACTGCCGAGCGCCCGACTGGCCACCCAAGGGTCGTACATGTTCATCCCCTTGCTTCCCTCCAAATAGAATCTGCAGTCCCCCCACGCCTGCCGCGGAGCTCCTCTTTGTCTCTCCACTGTCTCACCATCTCCCTGCTCCCCCCTAAGCACACGGACACGTATCTGCCCGTGTATCACGCCAACAGATCGCTGAACTAACGCTCTGGACGCAACTGACCGACGTTGGCAAGCGCAGATCCGCGGAAGCTACGCTGCTGACGGCTGAGTGTGGATCAGGAAAGTTGGTTTGCAGAGCTACATAACCGACAGGAACGCAAACTTCCACCCGCAGGAAACACTGCTCGCGCCTTCAGCTTTCTGGGAAGCACGCGTGTGACCCACAGCATCGCAACCTATGACCAGCACAGGACCCCCTTCGCCCGCCACCAGAGTTCCGCCGGAGCGCAATGTACCAGCTCGTGTTTCGATGGAGGGCTCAAGGCGAAATATTGCCGATGATAGGGGCGAAGGTAGCTGCAGATTGGAAGAGACATCGAGTAAGACGCGTATGAGGGTTACAGCGAAACCTTGTGTGTGCTCTAATTCTCCCTCGGCAGCGTAGTGGCTTGGGCGCTTCCTATCTCTGGTTGAATACATGTCTATCGACGTCATTCCAGATATCTTCTTTGGCGGTATGCCGACTCTTTTTTCAGGAGCACGCTCCGGTGATGGTGATGCCACGACCGGGGCGAGCAGAAACCGAGGCCTGCGGCAAGACCACCCTGAACGCGGCGCGGCATCCGAGGACGACGACAACGAAGACTCTAAGGCAGACTCGGACGGCATCCGTCGAGGCCCGCTCTCTTCAGCGAGCGATAGGCCGAAAGGCCATGCGACATCCGACAGCAAGGTGACGAGACCTTGACAAATGCAACTTGGCAGCAGCAACTCGGTTTGATTTGTCCGTCCCGTTCGTTTTTCTCTTGTAGCAATTCTTTTCCTCCTTTTTGATATAGAAACTATTTTTCTTTTCCCTAGTGGTTACGCAGAGTAGAGCGAGTACCTTGACTGCTGCAGTACTGCTGTAGTACATACACCTTCCCAAGTAGCAGCCAATCTATCGGGGAGTGAATCGTTGCAATTCGCAGGTGGAAAGCGATCATTTCGTGAGTCAACAACATATGAGGGAAGAGACTGCTGAGTCCTTCCTTGTCAACCCCATCTAGCACTGCTGTATAGGCTGTACAGTCAAAGATAAAAAAGACCGGCATAGAGTCCCTACTTAAACAGTAGATATTTTTTCCAGTACACATGGAGAAGCGGCACGCGCGTTGGCTCGCTCACATACATGTATGTTGTTCGTAAACTTGGTCGACTTCATAAGTCGCGAGGGGAGGGATTGCTGTACCCTTCTCGCTATAAAAATATCTCAGGCAGGAACCGCAGCAGGGGGTCCAACCCCCGCTCTCGTGTGACCCCGGTTGGGTCGTCTAGCTAGTATTAATAGAAGTGGAGGATATAGGCCACAGGGGCAGTCGACAGAATCTAATGATGGGAGAAAAAAAAACTTTACACTTCGAAGTACTTCATATATAGAAGTATATATTATTTATTTTGCTGCGGCCGTGCTAACGAAAGCTCTGCAGCCGCAGTCCGAAAAGTCTGAAAATCTGGGTCCATACTAATATATGGGCGATCGGGTCTGTGATAGCACGTACGCTTGCAGCAGTATGGACCCAGATTTGCGGGCGTTTCGGACCGCAATTGCAGAGCTTTCGACAGCACAGCCCCACCAACACAAAAGGGCACGCCAAACCGCATGTCGCTACTCCATGATATCCTTTACGAATGATGATGTCCAGGTTGGGACTCCGCAACGCGATGACCTTTCTTTCACTACCGGCCGTGTCCCCTGTGTTGTCTTGAGTGTAGACTTGTGCAATATGTTGTCTTGGTCTGAGAAGGTATGGAGGAACTGCAGTGGTTCGTGGTACTACTGCTGTATGATGTTGCAGACAAGCATCAACCGCTGCTCTGTGTGACAACTACCGGATTGTTCGTTTGTCGCGCCACACGTCCCAACTGGTCGTCCGTGTCTCGTTTGTGATTGCTGCGTGCTCCCTGGGTCTTGTTCGAAATCAGTCATTGTGAACATCGATTGGCAAACCCCAGTACTAATCTTGAAGGTAAGCACCGCAGGGCAAGGTGGGACGAAAAGAAATAACCCCAGTGTTACCTTGCTCCTGTGTGACCCGGGCTGATATGTACATGCGTCAAATATGTACATACCGAAAGGTACGAACTGGCGCCAGAACCAATGGGACGAAAACATATATCTCACACATAACAGCAGTAGCGCACACGTGGACTCGTTCGTGCATCACTTGTATGCATTTGTAGGATTTCAACGTGCTCGGGTTCATTTTTCTCTGCTGGGACAGCGTTTTTTCTCTCACTTTCTTCTACATGGCACTCAGAGGAACCGTAGGGGTGCATAACGCCGGTCGCCCCGGTGGTCTAGTGGGTACCCTCGCAGCCTGCTATGTAGGCCAGGTCATGGGTTCGAGTCCCGACAGAGTGAGTTTTTCTCACTAAATCCTGGTCTCCGTTGGAAGCGATGTGCTACAAAGCGCGTTGTCAGTAAACTTGATCGACTTCATAAGTCGCGAGGGAAGGGATAGCTGTACCCTTCTCGCGATAAAAATATCTCAGAGAGGAACCGCAGGAGGGGGTTCAACCCCCTCCTCCTCTGTGGCCCCGGTTGGGTCGTTTAGCTAGTAGAAGTGGAGGATAGGGGCCGGAGGGGCAGACGACAGAATCCAATGATGGGAGAAAAAAAAAAAAACGTTACGAGAGGGGCTCGCGAGACATCGGTGGTCGGCGCTAGGGCCGCGTAAAGTCGCTGGGACCGGCTCTTTTTTCAGTGGTTGGGAATCCGAACCATAACAGCCTCCTCGAACGGGATGAAAACTGAAAACATCACTTGTTGTTTGCCCCGCGCCGTGCGCCACGCGCCCGCACGCCCACACAGCTGCTGCTGTGATTGTTGTGTACACACCCACCACACACCAACTGGCGCATGCGTACCCGCAGCGGGACCAGCAAGACTCTTGATGTTGCTCATGGGAACACACCACGCGACACAGAAGTCCTCTCGCACAACTCTGGCAGCGGCTATGTAAATTTCAATCCCGAAAAATCGGAAATTCAAATATGGAAATTGTGGTACTGTAGCAGTCTATGTGACTGTTCTTGGGCACGTTGAGCGTTCCTTCGATCCGTTGTTGGTGTTTGCGCGAAGAAGTCCCACAGACCATGGGAGACACGACCACACAAGAAGAGTGTGATCAACAGCAGTGATTACAGCAGTAGGACCTGCACCAAAGACGCCGCTAGCCTAAAAGCACACAACGCGCACAGGCGACAAGTCACGGCGGGAGAAAATACCTCGCACACGATGCAAATTCCAGTCAAATTAGTATATATGGAGGTTGCACGCAAACTGGCACTACAGAACGTCATCACGGCCAACCATGCGACCACGATGACATGGATTTGTCCTGTTGCGTCGCCCCCGGGAGGCAAATCACCTAACTTCCGCAGGGGAACCTTGTACTGCAGTACGATCTTGCCCCCCCCCCCAACCTCGAGAGCTCCAATCCTGGATCACTGAGAAAACTCATGTGGGATGCGCTTTGAGTTCGTCCCATTCCCCCACGTGCATTCATGGAACACCTACACATCCGGAGTATGATGTGGTTACGGAATGCGGAAAGAAGCTCGCTGTTATGTAGGGTATTGGCAGCGTACGTGTTGCAAGTTGTGCGGCTATATCCATGACAACCTGCCATAGGCATGAAGGGGCCATCTTTCTTACTGCCTGACCCCTACCAGATAAATCTTGTGCTCATGCAACTTTTTTCGCCTCTTTCCGCAACGCCCACAGGACGAGTTCCCTCTGATTTCTGTGCCTCTGGACACATGGGTTGGGCGGTTCGTGCGCATCACCACCCCGAGGCACAACGGCACAACAGGCCTCGTCCACAGGACGGGCAACGGCTGGGTGAATCTGCAGACCGCGCTTGGGGACGTTGCCAAGCGCGCGTACGATCTAGTTGTAATTCCTGAGGAGAGGGCCAACGTTGGCAGCATCGGTGGTATGCTGAAGGCGGACGCAGCTCGCGGCAAGAGATACAGAGGAGGCCCAAAGGGTGAGTGCACCCTGCTTGTCGCTGCGTTTGATAATCGCCAGTCGTTCTGGAACCGCAAAGAGAGCTGGGTCCGTTGTTCAATATTGACACGCCGACGTCTTGTGCGCAGGTGGGGCGGCCGTGGGTAGCAACTCTGGATCTGGAGACGAAAGGAAGGGTGGTGGTCCGTCGCGTAATCGCAGCTCGCGCACCACGGCGCGCACTGCTCACTCCAGTTCAGATTCCAGCGGCGAGGTCAAGTAACCGTTAAATCTGTGTTGCGTTTTATTTTCCACGACGCACTGTGTTGCGAATCCCGGAATACAACTGCGTGCGCGGCCACGTTTTCTATTCTCAAGGCTGTCTGTTGCAGCAGTGTAGAACATGGATGATACCCTTGCTGGCGAGTTCACGTCAGTGCACTTCCAAAAGCCACTCGACTGCATCAAGCTTTTGAGATGACGCCAACAGGCAACCCGAGTTGCTTTGGTTCACATCGTGTGCCAAAATATTCCAACCTTCGCCAGGAAGGATTGCAGATCAGTGTTGTGGCCTGTCCGTGATATGCTTGACGTGGTGATTTTTTTCATGACATTTTTTTTGTTTTTTGTGCATGGATATGTTTCTGCCTTCCAGGAGGGCGATGACGGGGACGAACGTAGCAGCGGCCGCTCCACTCGCCGCAGACGAAGGGCTCCCATGGATGACGATAGCGATTTTGAGGACGCTATCCAAGGGGACGACGAGGATGATGATGGAGACGACGACCACCGCTATGACGGCGGGGCCAATATGAGAAACGTGTCGAGGGGCGGTGGCAGGGGGTTCCCTGGTGGAGGGAGGAGTCGGACGATGGCGAAGGGCGGGGTAAGGGAGAAAGGGGACAGGTATGGAGGGGGGGAACCTGTAAAGTCTTCTGGGAGGATGTCCATCACGTTCACACGGCAGGATGGAGGTGGCGGTGCCAAGCAGAGGGGAAGGGGCGGCGAGTACGATAGGATGAGGGAGCGTGAGCGGGGCGGCAGGGGGGAAGCACTCAAAGGTGGAGCCGGCAGAGATCGGGATGGAATGAAAGGAGACAACTTCATACCGATCGGCAGGCACAAGGAGAAGGACTCTGATGTTGGAGGCTCCCGCACCAAGAGAAGGGACGTGATTTCCCACTCTGCTGCTGGTGATTCAGAAGACAAACTGGGAGCGGGCGGCTCCTACAGAGAGCGTGTGGACCGCTCGAGCAACAAGCTCGTTGCCGTGAACAAAAAGGTTGGGCGCTGTGTTGGGTCTGACTCTAGACGTGTCGAGGCACCGCTGGGTGGTCGAAACGCCATCTGTACCTGCCATTTGATGTTATTGGTGCTTGCGTTGCGTGGGTAATGGATTGTCTGAATGAGCGTCACCGCCCGTTGTCCTACCTTCAGGACGAGGAGGTGATAAAGTCGTCATGGGTTCACCAGATGCAGAAGGCGAAAGAGCGACCGAATCTGGTGCATTGGCGCGATGAACTAGTGGCTATCACGAAGGACAGCAGCGAGGACTTTGAGGATGTCACCCTTAGCGTGGAGCTCATGAGAGTGCGGTGCGATGTGTGCTACCATGAGAAGTCGGTGAGTTCCTTCGGTTTGCGTGGAAGTCAACAGTTAGGGGTGTCAAAGCGGCGGAATTTGGGGCCAAAAAAACGTCCGGTCCATTCGGCAAAATTTGAGGGGGGCACGCGGATTTGGTTCTTTTTTGGTTCTTGAGAATCCCGCTGTTAATACTGAATAAACTATACATCAAGTCAATTTGTTTGTACAGGTAGCTCTGCGTCCACACAGCAGGATGGCTCTTCATGCGTTACACACACCTTGATACAGGTCCAATAGAGGTGACTATTGGATTGGATTCTCTTGAAGTTAAAGGGCGGACGAACAACACCAAAAAAACATGGTTCTTTGGGCTCTTTGCTCCACGCCCAAGGCGACCTTTGCTCCTCTTGAAAAAGCGACCCAATAGCCCTCTACCTTGGGTTTACAGCTATACTACACAACAAACCGCATCCGAATCGCATCAGCCAACCACGAGATCTACTTGTCTGAAAACGGCCCCTCCAGGGGGGCTGCAGTGCCCACACCAGCAGACCCTCCCAAAAAAAAATCGAGGTCCGCGCCGTTCGGCAGCAGGAGGCGCGCTGCGCGAAAGCTGAATCAAAACAAAACGAAGTTTGAAGAAAGGACGGGGCAGTGTATGGTTGCCACGTCAGCAGAAGATAACACGCGGCGCGCTATCGAACGCGGCAGCCTCCCCGTCGTAGAGAGAACGCTGGAGGAAACGAAGGAGGAGTTGGTCAAAAATAAGAAAATTGTGGAAGAGAGCCAGGCTCAACCTCGTTGCCGCCGCCGCCGCCGCCGCCGCTGCTGCTGCTGTTTTTTCAGCAGCAGCAGCGGCGGCGGCAAGTGTCTGCGTGGCTTCACCGCCCGGCTGCTGCCCGGGTGTGTCATGAGGCATGTGTTCTAGAGTGGGACCGCGCAATGGTGTTGTGCTGTGCCACATAGCAGGGCGCAAAGCACACAGGCGAGCCGCGCCCTCGCGCGTGTGCGTCAGAGGGTCTTTTCGGGAGGTTCCGACGGTTTCGTGCAATTTCATTGGTTGGTCGATTTTCCATCAGCAAGATCCGAGGACGCTTTTTCGAATTTTTTCCTATAGGAAATTTTCCGCTTTGACACCCCTAACAGTTGTGTTCGGCTCCTTGCTTTCGGGGTACTCCACGACGTTGGCACCCCCAACACGGCGGATGGAGACTGAGAAAAGTATAGAATGTTTGATGTGTTTCATGTATTGGGCTTACATTTTGCGATACAAAATCAACGTTAGGCGTCGACCCAACAACCCAACCCACGCCCAAATGCGGCTGTATCGCGCGTTCTGGACGACGTGGGGAAATACCCTAATAATGTATTGATCAGCCTTTGTCTGGTATGTTACGGGTGGCAAACGGAGGCGATTCAGGCTATTGCTTTGCCACGGTTGTGTTATTGCTAATTCACCAGAGAGGACGTGTTCGGAGGATAAGCGTAGCGCACCGCAACCGTTTCAGTTATGGTTTTTCGAACAACTGCAGAAAATGTCGACCAAGCCTTTTCCTTGCCGCTCAATGACTCATGCCTTCGGCGTAAAAACTCGTACGTTCATGCCGCAGGATGGCGACAAATTTTGCTGGAACGAAAAGTGCTGGATGTCGCCTGTTTTCTCTGGCTACTGCCACACAGGCGCGAATGACGAAGCCATCGCGCCGACCCCTGTACCGCAGAGTGCGGGATACATCAATACGTTCGGGAGGGAGACCCTCATCGACCCGGCGTTGACCAGCGCCCTGCAGGCACCTGTGAAGGTAGATTCTTCTAGATTGGCATCCACCTGTTCGGTTGTTCGTTGCAAGGTATCACTTGTGCGTACTGCCGATCAGAGTATTTTGTTGTAGAAAAGACGATAGCAGTCCATCCTGCTGAGCAATGCTAAACGTGGACATGACTCCCATTTCGGTGTCTATTGATGTTGTCATGCTCGTGTTGCGCTATGCGTTGACAATTCTGTCAGTTTTCTGCAAAACCCTTACTGGTCCTCCGCTGGCTGCACAGATTTGTTCAGAGCTCGGTTTGTCAATCCTACACCAGCATGTTTGATGTTTTTGTGGTGAGACAGTAAACTGGCCCTTACTTACCGCCGTCTTGGGCGGTTATGTTGGGACTAAGATCCATCGAGCAAGCATCCCCTGGTCACACCAACCAACCCACACTGCTGTATTGACTTGCTTTGAATCAGTGGCTGGAAACCAAGCGGAAGAGGAAGCTCGAGGCCCACGAGGTGTTCTCGGAGGACCCTGCGCTATACCGCTGGCAATGCTGGGCTAGCCTTAGCAAGAATCCCAACTCCAAAGACCCCACATTTGTCGAAGACCCAAGGTTCCGAGCTGCAAGGGTAAGTAAGACCAAACACTGTGCGTCCTTCAGTTTTGTGCGAATGTGGTTGAAAGTTGTGCCGAGCGCCTCTGGGTGTTCACTAACAACTCGGACACCCTTTTGTACATGTGTTGTCGAATTATACAATCGAACGAGCCCGGTTTTTTCTCTTGTTTCAGTCAACTACGCCGTACGTCCTGTGTCGCGACACGTTTGCGGATTCTGGCGAACAAGAAACCATGTCCACCACAAGCGTCCATGTCTTTGCATGTTTACCGTGTCTTGCAGAGGGGGAACAGCGGTGCTGACAATGGTCGGAACGTGTCGATTTCAAAGCCATCGCCCGAGACCGGTGGAGATATGATCCGCCACGACGAAGATGAGATGCGCATGGACGAGTCTGCCTCTGACAGAGGTTGGGCATGACTAAAAGTTGACGCGCTGCACAACATGCGTATGTTGCGAGCGCCGCGGACTACATGTCGACATTCCCATCAGGGCAACTGCTACGTACGCATTTGAAGTCTTCATGACCCTTTGCAGGGTACACACGCTTTGTTTGTACTTCGTACACAAGAGCAGTAGACATAGACAGCAGCGACAGGATAACACCGGAGTACATCGATGGTGTTGTCTTTACCAGAAAAATTGTTGGTTGTAACTAACATACATCCCGAGAGCGACATATATGTGGATTTAGGTAGCCGTTGCACAGAAAAAACAGCCCTTGACGAGGATAGACGAGAGGAATTTCAAAGACCATGCCCGCGCTGGACATGTGCGTATCTTGCTTGAGTGGTCGTCTCAGCAAGAACGAACGCGAGTGTACCTCTTGCAACGTTGTGTGCACTTTGCTTCTTGAGCATATCCGATGCTTGCCACGCTGTGCGCGACAAGATTGAGATCGCGGGTGGCGTTCATTTAACGCGGCGAATCGACAGATGTCTAGTTCCACCGTCAGCAGAGTGTAACAGCAGCAGAGGGCTCGCTGCTCTTCCTGGGGGATTAAGCGCGTTGAACAAGCTCTGGTTCACAGCACGAGCAACACTCCCAAACGTTTTCAAAGCACCATCTGTCCATCTACCGCTGGACGAGTGAACACCGGTGGTATGTTCCGCTAGAAAAAAACGCAACGCAACACGGGACCCTCCGTTTAACGCGAATACGCCAAAACAACATAAGTCACCCTGCCTGCCTGATGGTCTACCTTCAACGAGCCCACCATACCAGGTTGAGCAACAGGAATAAAAAACTCCTTTGAGAGTTGTTGGCGAAACGTGGATGCTGATGCCAAGCTTTTGTTCAGAAAATGTACCTCACTAATGTGCTATACTGCATGGACCTCTCAATATGACAACAAAACTTGCGACGCGAAATGCGTCATCTTAGATGCTTCCGCGTACCACCCCTCTTTACCCGATGACGCCAAACGACTTTGAGACTGAGCGCCAGTCTACACCTTTCGGTACATTTGATGTGTCAGACGGTACTGTGATACTGTAAATGTGAAAACAATATACGGCTTATGGCTTCGTCTGGACTGTTACAGGTCCCGAAACCATCGTGCAACAAGAAAGCCTGTAAGAATCCGGACTCTTGTTCTTTTCGAGAAGTTTCTTCTCGCCGGGTCCCTTCGGGCTGCAATTTTGCGCGCCAGCTTTCACGTCTACGGCGCACGTACCACACGAGCCACCACCTCCACAGTTGTAGATCTTCCCCTGCAATGGTCATGTTGCAAAAGCGGTGGAGCCAACGTTAGTACAACCTTCCAAGAGGGAACGCGTGTCCGTCCACACATGCGTGTCGGCAGCAGAAAAAGCCACCGGAACAGATTAAACTTGGCGTCCGTCAATCAGCTGTCTCCATTTAACTCGGTGCCTACTTGGCGTCTTGTCTATCATCGAGAAAATTTTGAATTACGCCGCTATCTTCTGGGCACCGCAGTCGACCAACCAGCTCACAAAACAATACACATCATGAGTCGGGAGCCTGGGAGCTGCAACTGGCGCATACCACACGCCCACAGCAGGATAGAACCAGCAGAGAACACTTCGGAACGATAAAAATACCTCAGGCATGAACCGCAGGAGGGGGTCCAACCCCCCCCTCCTATGTGACCCCGGTTGGGTCGTCTAGCCAGTAGAAGTGGAGGATAGGGGCCAGAGGGGCAGACGGCAGAGTCCAATGATGGGAGAGAAACAAAACAAAAACAAAACTTCGGTTTCCGTGTGTACGAAGTTTCGCAAAGTTAACCCACACTTCGTTGCAATCACGAACACGCAATAGCACCACCGAGACGACAAGGAGAGCTTCGAAACCGGGAGATCACACACGCACACGCGCATTTTCATATCGAGGTACCGCAGTAGTGCCCACACCCTGGGATGCGTGAATGTTTTTACATGGTCTGCACGCCCAACCTCTCGCCAGATCACTTCAAGTAACGTGATGATGATACCCTGGCATATTTGCATCTATTGATTGATATCTGCTTTCGTCTTCGCTCTCTTGACTATTTGTTTTTTGGTTGGAATGAACGCCCCAAAGCAACCATCATCAATAATCTCGTTGGGATGTTGAGCAACCCGCACGGCAGTAGATCTGCACGGTGATTTCTTTCGTTGCTGCCGCGGTGACGACACCTCTGCTCTGGTTTCTCCTTTCCTTCATGTCTTCAGAGGTGCAACATTGTGCAAGCGTGCAGCCCGCAGATACATGGGTTTCACACATGTATTTGCGGACTTCGACCACGTAAATAACTCGAAAACCTCGGTCCCGGCACATTGAAAATTGGCCCACGCTTCAGGCAATCAAAATACCCGGACAGCGGTCATTTTTGACCTGCCATGCGGCCAGCAACACTGGGTTCTCGGCTCCCTCCGAATCAACCGTACCATACTAGTCGGATGTGCGCGCGGATTCGACAGAGCAGGGGTCGTGGACCACACCTCGTGAGTGCCATATATCTAGAATTTTCAAAACAACATAAGGTTTTGGTCTAGAGCGCTACGGTCGATGAAGAGTTACGAACTCAGTACTCTTGCGACGAGCGAGTTGTCCTCACGGTCAGCAACGGTAATGGAAATGGGAACACGCGTAGGACCACGTCGACAGCAGTAGGACAGGTCTGGTGGAACCAAAGAGAGAGGTAGGGAGGAAGTGCGCTGCGAGGGGCGAGGCCGGACAGCCATCGGCTATCAAGATCATGAACGGAAGCTCCTCCTCACTGATGACAGAGAAGGCATAGATGCGACAAGTCGGAGGGATTTCCGATGACGCCCAACGTTAGGCATGAAGAAGGTCTGATGGTTCAGGAGGCACAAGTTCCAGAGGCACAAGTTCCACGTTACCCCCGCAGCTTATTATACTAGTGGTGATAGAGCTCGCCCTCCACCAAAACTACCTGACAAATACGTGAACTTTGGGCCAACGGATATATTAACACGTTGACAGACACAGAAAAAACTATATTGTATTAATTGAAGTGGACAACCTTATCCTAACTTTCCGCATTATTGTATGGGCGAAGGACACAGCAATGACATGACATCTAGTTCCAAGTACAAATGTAATACAGGTGTACCACAAGCACCGGACATTTACTCTCCAGCGTACATGTGACGGTGTACCTCATGTTCACGGGCTTGCAGAGAATCAAAGATTCAGACCGACACCGTGCTGAGCGTGGGATGGTGGAGATC